TTGCACATCATAGTTCATAACAATATTCAACTTTTGCCATACACCTTTTACATTATCACAATCAAAAATTAGATGTTATATATCTTCATTTTCATTTCCACAAAATTCACATTTTGCATTTTCTCTTAATTTACATTTTTGTAAAAAAGAATTACAACATAGAATATTATTCAACAATTTATAATTAAATTCACTAAGACGTTTATCATACATGAGTTTGATTTATTTCTATAAATATTACACCAGTATTCTTTACTTACACAAAAGTTTCGACCTAATATTGATTGATAACATGGATATTTAAACTTTTTAGACAACATATTCTCATAGAAAAACTTACATTTTTTATCTGTAATACAATTAAAACCACTGTTAAAATTGAAAGAATTTACAAAGTTGTCTTGGTAAAAATAAAACACTTCATATCAAACATGTTACTTACTACTTTTTTTAGAATCTTGTACTCACACAACCAGTTAGATTTATTTATCAAAGTATTTGAAATTTCTTGTAATGTTTTAAAGTTACCATTTTCATCAAAGAGATCTTTCGTATACAAAATATTACTTGCAATCCAATTTTTAAAACATATTGTTTTAGTACCTTTAAATTGATATAAAATGTTATTCCAAAGTGGTTGTCGTGCCAATTTGACATTTGATTGATTTGATACTTCTATTTCCTTTCTGCATTCATTGAAATAACAGAATATTTCTTTATAAAAAGTAGGCAGGTGAGAAATAAGTGCAAAGCTTTCGAGTTTTCTTTCAGACAATGTAAGTAAATAATTAATGTCTATATTCATTTCATTCAGGTATCCATTTATGACTTTATTCAGTATACAAGATTCATCATCTTGCTACCCAAGATGCCTTTAAGGCCTTTAATTTCAGTTCAATATCAACTACTCCTATTCCCCCTTCTTCTTGTTTGCCTATAACAGTGTCTCGCTTAATTCTATCTCGTTTGTTCCATATAAAATTGAATACACTACTTTTTAATTTTTTTTATCAACTCATGGTCTGGAATGGGTAATATTGAGCCAACATATATTAATTTTGATAAAGCTAAAGAATTAACTACACAAGACTTTCCAAAAATCGTTAATTTTCTTTTTTCCATGATTCAAACAGTTTTTCCATATCTTCATAAATTTTAATCCAATTCAAGTTGTAGCATTGGTCTTTGTTATGACCAATAAAAATACCTAAGCAGCGAACAGCATCATTAGTTACATTTATACCACACACATTTGAAGCCTATCCTTGAGACTACCTAAAAATATACATTGGGTGTTATTCAGATTAATTTTTGATCCAGCATGGTTGCAAAAAGTTTGAACAATTTCAATTGCTGTTTCTAATGAGGATTTGTCTTTTAAAGCTAAAGTTATATCATCCGCATGTTGCAGATTTTTTATTTCTGGCGAAGTTGCATTTAGTTTAATACCTTTAATATGTTCATTACTTTTTATTTTTATAGCTAATATTTCTGCGACAAATAAAAATAGCAAGGCTGAAATAGGACACCCTTGTCTTATGCCTCTAGACATAAAACAAGTTTTAGAAATCCAGCCATTATTTTTTACTTTAAAAATTGGGTTGGTGTATAAAATTTTTATCCATCTGATAAAGTTTTCACCAAAGTTAAATTTTTCTAGTACTTTAAATAAAAAATTCCATTCTATCGAATCAAAAGCTTTTTCAAAATCTATAAATAACAAAAATCTTTCACTATTATTTTCCATGCAATGTTCATAAATATCTAAAACAGTTCTAGCATTAATTCCGATATAACGTCCTTTAATATATGCTGATTGTTCATTACTTATTAATTGATCTATAACTTTTTGTAATCTTGTTTCTTTCGCCCTCTTCTATCCATTGTGCTTTAGATCTTATTTGTGCGTCTTTTGCTAATTCGTTTTGCATTTCATCTAAATCTTTTTCCAATTTTCTTTTTTCGTTCATATTAATTTGAACGCTAGGAAGATTTTCAAGTTCATCAATTTTCTTTTCAACTAACTGTATCTTCATTTTTATTTTGCGTTTTGATTGTTTAGCATAATGTATTGCTTTTACTTTGAATAATTCCCATTTTGAAATTGAATCCAGCGACTTATCTAATTCATTAAAAATCTTGATGACACCTTCTTTATATTCAGTCTTATCTAAATGAGATACGTTTAATTTCCAATATCCGGAACCGCGTTCTTGTTTGCTAAAATCCACAGAAGTTTTGAAGTATCTATGATCGCTCATTCTAGTGTTTTTATTGTGTGTGCCTGGTATGCGTCTAAAAATTATATTTTTCATAGAGTTTAAAGTATCGCTACTTACAAATACATTTAGAACAGTTATCTGAATCACACCAGGTAAAACCATCTCTCTGAGGATGTTTATATTGCCAAAGGTCTACAAAATCTAATTGATTTAAAATTTCTAATAAGCGCTTTTGCGATTTATCACTTTTCTTTTCAAAGCTACAATTAAAATCTCCACAGAGAAATATTTTACTTCCTTCAGAGGAATACAAAGAAGTAAATGTTTTAAGTCTGTTGAAAAAGGTTATTCGCGCATTTTCACTATTAGGTGCATACACATTAATAAAAGTAATTAAGTTGTCATCTACCTTGACATTAACTAAAAGTTTTCTTGCATCTTCAGATTTGTGTATATTAAGAATATTTACATTAAGTTCTTTACGAAATAGTATGGAAACCCCTCTACTATATGAAGAAAAAAAGCATGTATGGATATACCTTTCCAGTTTGAGTCATATTTTTCTTTAATTTTATCTATATAATGAGTTTCTTGTATCAATATAACGTCGAATCTATTTTGTTCTAACCAAAGATAAAACATTCCTTTCTTCATACAACGTACCTATGTAATAGTATAAATAGTTCAGTTCATTGATATACAGCGTCTGGATTGAGGGTTTTTGATATTTATTTGTCCCCTTCAGAGCTATCAGAATCAGCATTGCATCCAGAAACGTCACTGACCGCATATTCTAAGTTTAAGTGTTTTCTGATCTGCGGATTTTGCACCAAATGTATATGGATTTGTGTCATACAACTGGTAAGAGATACTGTTAATCTCCATACCCTGTATCAGAAGTTTGTTTCGATTTTCCGTATTCTTCAAATAAATGCGCCAGAGATTCCGGTCCAATTGTACACACAGGAGATCATCACCCACAAGTTAAAATACAATTAATTTGAGAAGACTCCCTCGTTAAATGTCTAACTTATTTTATATCCGGCGGAAGGAGTAGACTTTACAAAGATTGTCTTTTCCTTTTCGGTTGCTTTTTTAATTGTAGCTTATAAAATGTAATTTAACCCGGTCGTCTCAATTTTTACTTAATCAAACAGGTTAAACCAATTTCATATTTGAATTTGACACCAAGCGTTTCCAGATTAAGCCATCTTCCTTATTTCAGTCCTTTAGCCATAATTGAGATGTTGCTGACAACACAGAGTACAGATGCATACACGATCCAAGAAATTATTGAGATCTTTTTTTGCAAAACTTTTTTTCCAAAATATCTTAAAAATAAACAAAATATCTTGACAATAAAATATTCACAGTTTGAAATATTTTTATAAATGAAAATATTCGCTACTTTCTTGATTCTGTGCAGTTTTCTTTTATAATTTACAATCTTTTTGTAGGCTTATACCTCTGGTAGATGCCATGCTAATGTTCAAAATCATTGCTTTTGAAAAAAAAGCCTGTTGTACAATTAAAAAGAAAGAAGAGAACTATCGATACTTCTTACACACTGAGTATTTCACTGTCTACTACTGATTCATTTTGAACAAAATGTTAAAAATCAGAAGAAGAAAAGAGCTGATAGATCTATATATAATCCTATTTTGTATTATTTTATGGACTTTTGATCTTGAATACGTTTCGTTATCTCCCTATGTTTCATAGCATATTTTTTTTACATTTAGTGTTGTTTTCATAAGCAAATATCAAGTCTTCTTTAGTTTACGAGACCTACAACCTCTTTTCCTTAATATATCAATCAATCATTTATTTGAATCTGTTCACCATTTTACAATAGTATACAGAGATACAAAAACAAATAGGTGATTTTATATATAACAGTAGGTCTAAAAGGCATGCGTGAATAAGAAACTAAACAAAAAATTTGTAGGTTGCTATAAATGTGAAGTATGGTAATTTAGGCCGGGGAGCATATTTTATTTATTTTCTTTATAAAGAAGCACAATTTTCTCAGAAAGCAGTGTTTATTGTTATTCATAATGATTTTAAAACTAATTATATTCTGAAATTTTATTTGTTTTTCTGTTAAGCATAGCGTTCTTTCTGTTTGTAGCGAGCTGCACTTTAGTATGTAGTGAAACTCATAACTGAATTTTTTTTTAACATTTTGTACCACTTTAATCAAAATAAATTGTGGGACATCCCATGTTTTCAGAAATATTAGCAGATTTAACAATTCCTTACTAATACATACTTTACATAGGCTTTCTATTTTCGAAAGCTGTAATTTTGAACATCAGACTACAAGAAGTATTCAATAGGTGGCTATCAATGAAAACTGCACGTATCATTAGAAAGTAAAGGACATTGTTATTAAATAAAATAGCAATGTTAGATTATATTTATGTTATTAATCCAACATTTTAGATATTTGTATCATAAAAATTCTCAATAATTTCTGGGAACATCATATTTTATAATTACAATAGGAAAAAGAGTCTGTTCTCGACTTAGAATTATAAAACTCTTGGTTTATTGAAAATGTATAACCATTGTATGGCCCTATTAACCCTCTATCGAAAAATGACGATTTCTGTCATTTTTTACTATCATATTTTACATGTTTTCTACCTTTCAATCCTTTTTGTTGTATTAACCACATACAAAAGACGTTCATCTGTTGTTGCCAAATTCTTCACAGAATTGTCCACATGTCCTCAATAGTGTAATTATTTTAATTAATAACTGATGATATTTGGACGTGGTAAACAGTATTCATGGGATCTATTAATCAAACAATGTAGACATACATCATCGATTTTTTTTTCTTTCATCCTTTATTGCAGTGTCCGGGCTCGGTTTTATTACATAGTTTGCATACAGCCAACGGATCAATGCAAAAAGAGCTGTATCGATCGGCAACATTACGCTTCAGGATTAGTTCTTAGATTGTCAAGTATTGGATTTCTTACGGCAAAAGACTAATATTCGGGGTCTCTTCCAGCAAACAGCTAGGGTTGGCGTGTTTGACGCAATTGAAGCTTTTAATAACATGGAGAATTTGAAATCAATCAGATTTATGCGTCTCTGTACAGGCGGTTTCAGGGTACCATCAAGCTGATTGGACCTTTACTTCTAAAATGGGTAAGATCTACAAGTGTTTGTCATATTTCAGGAATGTCTGCTATTCTTAGATATGCACAATTAAGTCAACAGACCTCATAGACAGTGAAATATTTGGGATACTTGATCAATAAAATTTTGGCCTACTCCTGTTAAAAAGATTCGCCTTGTTCAGTCGTACTTATTGGCTCTCAATGTGAAATACATTCGTTTGTTTTAACATTAAAAAACTTTTTTTTCTATCTGTTTATAGAGACATTCTCTTGTCGATGACATAGCTAGTCCGATATCTTCAGTATGGTTCGTTGGGATCTGGCCCTCGTGTTCTGTGCCTCGGGTTTTCACATTTTTCTGGGAGTTCTCAGTGTTTGTGTCGGTGTCATTCTCAGTATTCAAGCGGAAGTCTGGTTAGCCCACAGCGTATCGCCAATATGGAGTGGTGGTATTGTAAGTACACTCGTGCCTCCTCTTTCCTTTACCTCCACTTATATGTTAAAATTTTAATTCACGATCAAATAAATCTTGATCAACAATCTAAACATGCAAAATAAATAAATCAAATTATCTTCCCAAAAATATCCCTAAGACTACAGCCACTACATGCATTTATACAAATCACATGAATAAGCAAATACAAAAGAACTTGCAAAATGCAATCAATGATTACTCAAAATTTTTACTCTTCATACAATGGTCATACATAAGTTCACAAATTACTCTGAATCTGTCTCGAAAAAAAAACCAGACAGACATGCAAATTTACACATATAGAATACATATATCTATTACCAGTATTTTATGCCAAACGAGAAAAAGTAAACTTACAAAGTAGAATGTATAGGACTAACAAATAAGTTCAAATGTTTTAATATCTCACAAGAATCGAATAATGGGCAAGGTGAGGTCCATTACCCAAATGTTGAAAAGGTCATCCCAGTCATGATCAAGAAGACCCCACAGTTCTACAAAGGCCCGTTCTGCAAATCATATCTTAAATTTTATAAAATGTTTACTCCCTTTTTCTTTTGGCAGTTTTTCATAACTGGACTAGTTGGAATACTGTGTGCGAAGAGAAAAACATCCTATGTGGTAATTAATTCTTTAAAATTCATTTATTTTATATTCAGTAGAATAAATAGTTATGAACAACTGAAATATCATCCTTTCTTCAGATAATGTGTTTCATTGCCATATCAGCCGTTTCTATGGTGACGACCTTTGTCAGTTTTCAACTCCTGCGAGTTGGTCTTCAGAACCATGCTACTGACGGCAGTACCTTCCAGAAGGAGGATAAGGACCCCCTAATTCTGATCGCCTTGGTTACCGCTGGGGTGGAGTGTCTCATATGTATCCTCTCCATCCTCCTCAGCTGCCGCGTGGCCAAAATAGCGAAGGAGGAGATGTGTCAACAGAGAGAAGGCATGTTCCACATTAAGGTACTTGGACAAAAAGACATTGTGGTTGTAACCAAACCGCTCCTAGATAGTGCTAAAGACACTGTTATATAGGCAGCGCCATAAAAACGGTGCTAAAGACACTGTAAATTTATTGTAACCACTGTTTTCAAGAATGACATTCATAACACATTTGTTTGATATTATAGTTAGCAAATCTATATTAATGAAAGTTCGGCTCACCTTACCTCTCTGTATTTGAGTATGATTATATTTCGCTATGTTGCTGTAGGACAACGAATGTATATCCCTATGTAGTTCCATTGTTGAGAAAATCATTGATTATCAAGTAATGAAACCCATCAAATCAAATTATTTATTAATATTGTGAAAACTAGGAGGACAGCACGTATTGATGTATGATTAGAAGGTGATTCATATAAATGTATAGATAGGGTACAAGGAAAATTAAAATAGCAAATAGTTGATTTTCTTTTTTCAATTTTTGAATTACCAAATGAATTCCACTGTGGTCCTGTGATACAAAATACGATGTCAATAACACATTTTTCACGTACAGGAAAATGGTTCCTCTTTTGTGTTTACAAATATCCAGGACAACTTTAGTAACTTCGATGACATCAGTGTCGACACGCCAGCCGAGGCACCGGAAGTGACTGGTCCCCATCCGTCCATCTCGAACAACGCCAAGGGAGTCCGATACCAGTGTCCCGAGCCAGGCCATATATCTGAAGAATGGAATAACGGATCAAACCCAGTGTCGATTCCGATAATCAAAATTAACACAGCACTGGAGAAAGGAAGTTCACCAAGTGAAAGTCAGACAGGGGAGGACGGATCAGATATTTATGTAGAAATAAATAGATAAAAAAAATCTGATTATCATTTTATTTAATGGATACAACAGTACATATAATTCACATAATAGAGTGCATTTGAAATGAGACTATGAATAGTTAAAAAATGAACAGGGTAATTATGTATCAAAAAATCTCGAGTTATCACTCTGTATGGTGATACAAATGAATACAGATTACTTTACAGTACCAGCAGAAAACGTCGCAAAAAAATCTCATATTTCTGTTTTAAAAGAGTGATATGACATCGATTTCTTGGTCCTCTCAACGCTGATTCAAGATGATTTTGTCAGCTTTAAAGTGCCTGCGACAAAGTAGAGGTTTCTATAATTAAAGACCGATGAAAACCATATAATGTGTCCTTATATATTGATATAGGAGTTTTGTTACAGCTTTCTCCTCGGAATGGTCAGCCACATCGCGGGATTAAAAGTTTATTAAATTAAGCATCTTGGACTTCTTGGTTTAAACCATAGAAAAATATATTATAAATTATAATTCGTTAAGGAAGAGCATACGCATATCAAATCAAACAAACACTGACAGTTTCAAAAAAAAAAAAAGAAATTTGTTTTATGTCCCATATGAGAAAGTTTCACTGATATAAGGATGACGTGTTGCAAAATAAAAAAATCTTTTCCGCTGAGGGGACATGGGACCCCAATTTTTAAGGTCTTTAACACTTCAGAGGGGTTCGATGTCCCGAGAGCTTGGCTAGGAAACAGTTGTTATCTATATGTCCTTTCAAATATTTTTTTTATTGACTTAGGTCAGTCGCAGCCAGGGTTTGAACTCAGGACCTTCCGATCATTGACCACCCGGCGATTGATTTGTAATGAAAAATGCGGATAGTGAAGAAACATGTTTTCTTTTGTAATCTTTAGTACTGGACATCATAACGATGATTGCATAATGCTTTCATGAAGGTTATTTTGGCAGCTGAGACTTAGTTAAACGCAACATCCATTTTTCTAACACTGTAAACCAACTATTATTCGCGTCATCTTTTATTCGCAATTCGTAGGTTTGAAATCCTTCCGCGACGATTAATTTTTGCGACTGAGGATCATTTTCTACCGATATGAATCAAAATAAATGGTTCATGGCGATAAATATTCGCGAATTAATGTAGGTCACAAAACTTGCGAAATTTCTCGCTCCTGAATAAAAGTTGGTTTACAGTATACAGCGAATAGGGGTATTTATAAATGCAATAGACAGAGTATGGGGATAGAAATGAAATATACAAAATATGAGGATAGAAATGAAAAATACAAAATATGGGGATAGAAATGAAAATACAAAATATGGATATAGAAATGAAATATACAAATTATTGGGATAGAAATGCATTTTCAACAACGTCATATACTCTATTTAAATTTATAATAAATTGAATATTGAATTGTTAATTTTGGGGTTTATATATTTTTTATTTTAAAAAAGCATGGCCACTGACAGATTTTTTTTTACAACGAATTTTATAAAAATATTAAATAATGAAGTCACCTTCTTCAGTGAGTTATGTCTATTTTAAAAATGTCAACACAAATAAATAATTCGGTTAATAATATTGAACTTTTTGCCAATAAAAAATAGGTTGTTAGATAGATTCAGTTCAGTTTGTTTACTTTTGTTTTACCGTATATCCGTTTTTTCGCCATGATCTATTTTTCGCATTTTTGCGATCATTTTTAATTCGCAAAATATAAAACACGCAGAAATTATGTCAGCTATAATGTGACATAAAAACATTACCATTTTAAACACAAAAATCTTTAATCGTACAAAATAACTTACGCAAAATATAAACTGTACTAATCTACCCCTTTTTGGCAAAATTTCCAACACGCGAAAAAAAACGGATATTCGGTATATCATTTTTTCTTAAAAACCCAATGAATCACATGTACTAAATACATACATGCTTGCTGATGAAGTCTGTGTTCGAGCAGTTTATCAAGTACTCACTGCTTTTTTATTGTTCACCAACAATGAAATGTTTTGCATATCTTTTAAGATATTTTTAAAAGACACATTTGTTTTTTTTTTCACGTACATTTAGTTTGTTGTTTTACCGTTCGATTAGTTTTTAAAAAATATCTGCAGGATTGTGCATTTATGAATCATTAAACCAAGAATATAAAAACATTCATATGTATAATTCATATACAATGACTTTGATTTTTTGATATTGAAAGAAATTAAAAGAATTTTTTTAATTCTTCAGTTTTCCTTTAATATATATTCAGTATTAAAACATAATTACTATGACAAGGCTAACAATGTTTTCAATAATTTTATTATTTGTTCATCCGGTTCTTTATGAAGGACATGGATATAACGAACTAAAATTCAAAAACGAGTTTTGAAGCAGAGCAAACACGGACCGCTTAAACATTAGGGGTGGGATGAGGTACCATGGAGGAGTGAGCATCCCCTGCCTACCGGTCACATACACCGTGTGTTCCTTTTCATGATCGGAAAATAACGGAAAAATCCGTCGACAATACAGCATGTAAATAATGGCCTAAAATTGGTAAGAAAAACGTCAGACAGCATATGACTCGTTGATAAATTGTATTCGCTGACAAGGTCATTGTATCGACCACACAACTTACGAAATGATGACTTTAAACGAGACTGCTGATATTCTTGTTTCAACAACTTGTTTATCAATAACTTACCCCGTTTTAGAACTTGTTCATGCGTAGATCATGCTCTTGCGAATCGTCTCAGTTGAGAGATATAAACCACGTATGCAAGTGATGAAGGTACTAGACAATTTTATGTGATAAGTTAAAAGTTTTAGGAGTTTTATCCACTGAGTGGTTCAAATCTTATCTGTCTTGTAGACAACAACAAGTTCATATTAACAATACTTCATCAGACTTTAATTCTGTAAATTGTGGTGTTTCTCAAGGCAGCATCTTAGGACCTCTTTTATGTTTAATATATGTCAATGATATGACTGTCAGTATTGATGATGACTGTAAATTAATTTTATATGCGGATGACAGTGCCATTTTTTATGCACACAGAAATCCTGTTATTATTGCTCAAAAACTGGGCATTGTTCTTGACAAATGTTCTTCTTGGTTAGTTGAAAATAGATTGTCACTCCTTTTAGGTAAGACAGAATCTATTTTATTTGGTCCTCCAAGAAAGCTTAAAAGTATCACAGATTTTAAAATTGTGTGTAATGGTCACATTATTAAAGGTTCTGACAGTGTTAAATATTTAGGAATCTGTATTGACAAGTCTCTTTCATGTGAAAATATTGTTTTAAGTATCATACAAAAAGTTAATGCTAGACTTAAGTTTTTATATAGAAATGCATCCTGTCTTAGTGCACAGTCTAGAAAGACCTTATGTTCTGCCTTGATACAATGTTATTTTGACTATGCCTGTTCTTCTTGGTATTGTGGAATAAACAAGCAACTTAAACACAGATTACAAGTAACCCAGAACAAAGTAGTACGGTTCATTTTAAACCTGAGTCCTAGAGAGAGTATTTCTAACAATATTTTAAACTCTCTAAATATGTTAAGAGTGGAGGATAGAGCTAAACAATTAAGATCAAATCATTTTTTTAATATATATCATGGTAATGCACCAGCTTACCTCCATGATCATTTTGTATTAAATAATAATATCACAAGAAGTGCAACCAATAAGAATTTTATTATATCAAAGATAAAAGGGAAAGAGTCTTCATGTTTTTTTCTATAATGCTATCAGAGATTGGAATACATTGCCACTAGAGATCAAAGAGGTGAAAACAAAACAAAGTTTTAAGAAAGCTGTAAGATCTTTTTTTATCTAAAAATGCTAGTGTTACTACATAAAAAGCTTTCTAATTTTATCGTTTATTTATTATTTTAGTATTAGGATTTTGTGATAATTATAAAGACAAAAATGTGCTACTGTAAACATGTCATATTTCAAAGCATTGTGCTATACTCATAAAAGTACCTGCCTAAATTCCAATGTTTATGTAATTTTGTTATTTTTTGTATACTAACATGGCTGTTATTTGAGGACCCCATTGGAAATAAGCTTTTTTAAACAGGCTTTTATGGGCTATCCTTAAGTAATATCTATCATCTGTATGTCACGCATTATTTAATAATAATTACATGTATATGTTAAATTAAATCTTCTCTAAGTAGCATAGTGCTGAGATAATGTGTGTGTGTGTTTTCTTCTAGTAGTATGCTAGTCTGTAATGTTTTAATATGTGAATCATGACATTCTGTGATATTTTACCTGAATGAAATGAAATGAAACTAGACAGTATATTACTGCATAACTGAGAGAAGTTGATGATTGACAAGTTAAACCAAAGTCATCGCGATTATCATAAAGCTTGGTTGTTGACCCTCTATTTTTTCTTAATGAGAATATCAATGTTTTTGTGGCTTTTGCTTATCAGTTGTGAACACCATAAGGTTACAGATATGATTTATGAACCTCTAGGAAAATAGTGATTAAAAATAGTCCGCAATGGTTAGAACTGAAATAAGGCTTAGATCTCTTGGGGAAACAATACAAATTAAACAACACAGACATAACCGAAAGGCGTGTTACTATTTTTAGAGTAATTAAGGATATCCGATCCTCAGCCAGGAAGGATAACTTCAAAAATTAACATTTAATTTGAAATGCATCAAAACTAAGCTTGAAAATGAAATTTTTTCATGCAACAATTTTCATTTTATTCATCTTTATAAGATTCAAGGTCTTTGGAAGTCTTAGAGAAGGTATTATAAAAGTTGACATTTGTACCCTATAAAAGGAGAAAAAATTAATACAGTTTTAAAGAAATCAGATTTTCTTGAATCCAGCCTTAGATACCAATGCTTATTAGCATGATATGAAATGAGAAGTGATTTATGGTATCTTTCAATGATAGCAAAAGCCTTTTACACCATGTATTATAGAATACATGGCGGAAAAAGAAGACAAAAAATACCAAATAAGTATAAAAAGCATGCCAATTTCTCTGAATTCCTGGATACCTATTGTTTTTTAGCCTAAAGTATATTTGTTGATCAAATTGCAATTAGAAAATGCATTGCTGATATTCCAATTCGCCTTTTCTGCAAAAATATTGGAGATTTGACAATTTTCCCTATATAATATGATTAACTTTGATCTTTTACTTTAAAGAAATACTGTGGATAAAATTACATAACTTTGTGGATTCAGAGATACTTTTATGAGTACTTTTGATTACTTAACTGCTAATTTAATAAATCTGAGGATCGGACTACCTTAATGGCAGAAAATAAACAAACGTGTTTTTTTTTTACAACAAGACTCTATATTTATATTATTTCAGTAAAGTATAAACAATCAATCTGCACGTATTCTCTTTAATAACTCACTTAATTAGTCAGCATTTTATTATTTTGCCAAAAAAGAAATTAAAATCGAAAAAACTTTTATTAGAATATCACCATATAAGGTAATTAAGTTGAATTAGTTTGTTGACAATAAAAAAGATTTATCAAAACATTAATTAAAATGTGTAACATTCAGAATGCATACATGAAATCTAAACTGAATTTTACATTTCGAATGTTTCAAAATAAAACAATTATTGGTATACTGAGTATTAATTTGTTTACCACAGTCCAATGATATTTTCGACCTTTGTCTGACCAGCATTCCGTTTATGAACCTTATCTCTTTTTCCCCATTGCATTCATATTGACAAAGACTCCATTAGTGTAGAAAGTATCGAGGCACAGAGGGAAATTACCATACTGAAGTCTTCGGACATTTAAGCAGTACGGTTCGCCAAGTAACTAGTAGATAATTATTCGCTTAAGTTGTCGGAAATTTTTGGCAAAATTCTGTTACTTCCGTCTAAAACTGTACGATCTACATATATACGGCAAGACAAAAAGAGAAAAAGAAATCTTTTCATTAATATGTTTTTTTTTCCAATTAAAACACAGAGTTATCAACAGACATATCGAATTATGTGGAAATAACCTGCGATCGTTTAATTTCCCTAGTCGAAGAAAAAAAAGATAGAATCTCGTAGCCAAATTCTCTTTAAAATTTATCTCATAAAAACTACAAACCATGCGATTCCGTGACGGGGCGTTTTAAAATACGAACCCCCGATTTCTAAAGGTGGGATCAGGTGCCCAGGCGGAGTAAACATTACCTGCTAATCGTTCACACCCGCCATGAGCCCAATATATCGATTACGTAGACGGAACATTCCTTGGTTAAATTTAGTACAAGAAATAATGGTTAACAATGGGTATGAAACAAACAGCCTCAACACGAAGCCCTGATAGGTTATATTTATCTTAAGTTCATTATGATAAATGGCCATAAAAAATTACCAAATGCTGACTTTAAATACGAGGGTGTTGAAATCCCTGTAACATCAACTTCTGCATGAATAGTCTGCCTCGGTTTACACACCATATACAGTTGATAACATAAATAAGGAAAGTTGACGATGTCATACAGTTTAGTTGTCCATTTAGATATGAGTTGGCCTTTGTCGTCTACAGTTAATAGTTTTTGAAACATAGAAATATGAAACAGATATGACAGACCCTCTAAAGTCTTTTAATTCAAGCTCATTGGGATTTACTAGTATCGTGTTGACATACATTGTTTGAAGAGAAATAACTACTGTTTTTTGATGAAATGTCGTTATACAGTATCTGAAAGTCGAGTTGAAGTCCGCGGCAAGTATTCCCTTCTCCTCAGGTAGACTTTTTAAAATATAAATTCTGTTTCATATGAATATTCTTAAACAGTTTGCTTAGTAAAAGTTATGGCCCGTGAGGCGCTTGAGTTAGGGTCCGTTGTGTGTAATATATAACTTGCATATTTAACCGAATATGTTTTTTGGGGATTTCTGATCTAATACAATTTAAAATAAAATTTTTGCACATTAGTGGTTTTAAATTTCTCTGATAAAAAAAAACATAAATACAAAATACTCGTAACCGTCCGTAATCGATATCATGCTTTACCCATTTTTATTACACACTTAGTAATAAATACAGTTTTTTTGCATATGCGATATGGCTGACGTCACAATAACCATATCAGCCTTGCAGAGCTGATATGGATTTGCACGGCTGATAACCTATATCAGCCCCGCAAATCCATATCAGCCCTGCAGAGCTGATACGGCTATTTTGACGTCAATATCACACCCTTAGTAAATTAAACCACAAAAACAGTACTTGTGATCATACACAAGTTTTGGTGGGTTCATACATGTATTCTCTTAATTTTAACTTTTTGAAAATAAGGTTAATCTTAATTTACAAATACATGTAATAGATTACCCGGGTATTTTCAAATTACGGATCGAGTGCATTGAAATAGAAGTAGAAACAAACCCAAATCGTATGAGACAATAGACCATGTACATGTATGTAAGAAGTCCATGCATGATTATTTACTAATTTTCTTCTCAACTTACATTATGTAATGTATGCTGTATTTTATTACTAGGTGTGTAATAAACATATTAATACATACCCTTTTCCACATCACATCCTGTATCAGCCCTCGGGCCTTCGGCCCTCTGGCTGATATTGGTGTCTCGGGCTGATACAGGATGTGATATGGAAAAGGGTATGTATTATTCTCTATAAAAACAATATGACTTTCTTTTAAATATCTCAAAATAGACTGTTTATGAAATTATATATCATGATAGTAAAATAGGCATGATGACATGTGGAAATCAGAGATTATGGTAAATAACTTTTAATTCTGATGTATTGTAACTTCCAGGTTGTTTAACACAAGGCATGGATCTAGAATTCACAAAGGCGGGACTTTAAATATTTAAAAAGTGATACCTATCAAAGTATCCTGAGGCAAATACAACAGGAAACATGGCATTGTGTACAAGGGTAAATTTGGGCAAAGTTCATTGAATTTAGAACAACCCCTATCCCGTATACCGATACAGGTCATTTTCAGTTCGGCAATAGAAAATTGTAAATTAGTGAAAGACACTTTTAACGATAAAATTTCTATTAAATAACCAATCTAAAAACTTATATCAGCTTTGTATAGTTGACACGTAAAAACAATTTCAAGGATTGTAAAAGATACATAAAACGTTCCAATAAATAAATGTATATAAATACAATTTAATTTATTGCATATAAAAATCTTTATTTTTAACAAAAAATGCATAACAAACATATAAATTTGAAAATTATTCTTTTTATGTAAAAACACGTAGGTATTCTTATGTAAAACACGTAGGTATTCTTAAAACAATATTGCGTTTTGCTGTGTTTCAATTGATACGCATGTATGTTAAATTATACTTACATATATAGATTAGACAATTTTCCCAAAATAGTAATACAGTACTAATGTTCCTAAAATGCGCAATGTATACAAGGTACATATTATTCATGTGAAAAGAATGAATAAAGATGTAAACCTGATATACAAACTTATCACAACCCAATCCTCAATTTTTCAATACAACCCACACTGACGGAAAACTCGGATTCCTTAATGTTAACGTTAGTTGTTCAGTTTCCGTAACAACACAATAAGGAAGGCGTGGTTTTGCCTATCTTCCCACACTTTTCACACTTGGTTTTGGCGAATTGACCTGGAAACTGTCTGTTTTATTTGAGATTGAGTGATATGGATAAACAGGGGCGAAAGTGATGTCGTACGAAATCTTGTCACATTCTGGGTCATCTTCCACATTGACCTTTCCCAGGACACTCTCCGTGTACTTAACACAAACTGAAAAAAATTGACATAATATCAACGTGTAAATTGCGAGTGTAATGCCTGTAAGGAAAAAAATTATTACATCATATGTACATTGTAAATTTTGTACAAACATACTAGTATTGTATTTTTTTTTTTCATTCTCAAAAAATTGATAACGAACAGTATTCAAAATATAAGCCAAGCAAACACGGACCTCCAAAACATCAGAGGTGGGATCAGATGCAATGGAGGAGTGAGCATCTCCTACCGACCGGTCACATTTTGATGTGTTTCTTGTCATGATCAGGAAATAAAGGGAAAATCCGTCATCAATTCAGTATGTAAATAAAACAATTAGTATGAAAAACGTCAGTTATCATTTGACTCAATGATAAATTGTATTTGGTAGCAAGGTCATTGCATCGACCATAGAACTTACGAAATGATGACTTTAAACGAGACTGCTGATATTCGTGTTTTAGCAATTGCTTGTTTGTCAATAACCTATCTCGTTTTAAAAATTGTACATACGCAGTGCATGCTCTTCCGTATCGAATCAACTGAGAGGTATACAAGTGTAAACCCCGTATGCAGGTGATGAAGGTACTAGTATATTGCTGCATAAGTAAGTGAAGTTGACGATTTAAAAGTTAAAAGTCATCGTGTTTTTCATAGAGTTTGGTTGTTAAATTACCATTAACATCTTTTTCGACTAAATATCCTAATATGAAACAGATGTGTCAGAATCTGTGGCACACCTTTTATCTCAAGCTCACATGGATATATCGTATCGACATAAGAATGGAAATAACTATTGTTAATTGACCATACGTCGTCGACATATCAAAATGTCGAGTTGTAGGCCAAAGCAAGTGTTTTCTTCTTTTCACTTATAAAATTTTGGACAAATTCTACTTCATATGAATACAAAAATAAGTATGCTAATAATGGGTATAATTGGTAGCTATGGGAAATCCAATAGAACTTGGAATACCTAGTGTCCAAAAACCACATAGATATTGTCAATCAGAAACCAAAGCATCTTTTTAATATCAATTTCATATTACTTGTACGTACCATCAAATTTTTTAACAAAATAATTTTGCAAATGACAAGGTAAGAAAATTTACGTAGAACATTTACTTGACCCGCTATGTATCTTTGTAAGGATTGTCATGAAATTTCGGATTCCAATATAGATATGGTAATTCAAATTCATTTTGGTTGTTTGGGATATTAGAAATATTTTTAAAAAAAACTGCCACATGATTTTGAAGAATTTTTTCCTAAGAAAGGGAACTAAGAGTATAAGTTGGATTACCACTTGTAGAACATGTAGAATGAAATCCAAGTTCTTAAATATACAATTTATATAATGATCCTTATAAACGCTTCTGAAATACAATTTATACAATGATCCTTACAAACGAAGACAATGTTGTTACCTGCTTTCTCAGTAGCGACCAGTATGTACTGATCATGCATTCTATCTAATTCTTTTTTCACTTCTGGATTATTGAATATAGAAGTAGATAAACATGATAAACATATACAGAAACGAGTCTTTGATATATGTCAAAATGTCGCACAACTTACGTAGTTTTTTGTTATCGTTGGTATGGATGACTGGAGAGTTTACTGAAACTCCTGACCCACAGTATGAAAAGTTACTGATTGAATTTTTTAAGGGCTTCGTTCCTATAACAATTTCCATTTTAACTGGCAGAGTGAAGGCTGGCCCAGAGGGATGGATCTTTAACTGAAAAAAAAAGTCCACACCGACATGAAGACACAATTACTCCTTTTGATCAGCCATAATCCGTTATCATTTACTTTAAGCAAAACTAATGATACATTTGAAATAAAATGAACTCCTTTAAGGGATGTTAAACATATTAAAATTAACAGACAAAACTAAAATCAGTTCTACTTTACTTTGAAAAAAAAATATGCTTCTACTCTATGTGAAATGCCATCTGACAAAGGTATGTGAATATCATTTACCTCGAGTACATATGAGACATCGATGATGTCACATCCTTGAAGATAAGATGGCGGAACGGAAGGTATGACGAGTCGCTCCCCTGTCCACACGCCTGTTTTCCCAGCATTCCATTTGTCCTTACAAACAGACGCGACTTGGTTAGTGTGAGTTTTCGATTTTTTGGACGTGTTGTAACGGACAACCTGTTTGATGAAAAGAACAAGAATTTTATTAATTATTACTTTATAAGGTGGGGATTGTTGAACATGTAATATTATATGGCATCAAATTGATATGTAATCATTTTCAAAGATAACATTCTCATTTTCACAAAAAATTCGGAACAGCTAATCAAATTTAAATTGTTTTATTTCTTAGATTTCATTTGCAAAAAGAATTATGGACAAACAGTACTTCATTGACACATTTCAGTCAGATGAATATTAAGGAATGATTAAAAAAAGCAACTCGGTTCTAAATAACCTAAATAACATAATTATAGTAAAACAAGTACAGTAAAACTTGTCTAATCTAGCCGCCAATGGTTCCAAAAAAATCTTATTTAATACTTAGCCTGAAATCGGTTTCCTCGAGTTTCAGTATTTTTAGACTTATTTCGAAATCTAGACTTATTCAGCAGAACTTTGAATCCCTTTCAGTGATTTTAATTAAGAAATAGATAACATTTTAAACAATTTACCATTAGCAGCGTAACACTAGCTGCAGACACCTTCCTGCCACTTCTATTCTCAATCTCCACGTGGATGGGAATTCCTTCCCCGGGAACGAATCCAATTGTTTCTAAATATAGCGTGGCACAAATAGGTCCGGACTTACAACACAGACAGCAAAGAGTCATCTCGTTACTGGCATCTGTCGATTGCTGTTACAACAAAAACCAAATAAAGGCATGTACCATAGATACAGAATTACCAAATAACATGCATAAGTTATCACTTCTGAGATTTTAGTCAGTATGTAAGCAAGTCATTGTGTTTTTTTTAAGTGTTATCTGCCAAATATTACAAAAAATGTAACACAGTTACAAGTGTTTAATATAATTATATATATATATATAAAGATAACGAACTGTATGTAAAATGCAAATGTCAATAACCTATGACACACTAAAACCTGAAATTTAAAAATATGTAAATGTTATTCATTAAAAAGCATAACATGAACAGGTACATCAAATTCTTGTCTTTAACCTACATTGTACTCTCTCTTTAAAATATAATTATCATTATTGTACTAATTTTGAAGGTATTTTCTATCGATTAAACTGAAATATCAAATTATAACGACAACTGTATCCCTGTGTTTCATTAACACAACAAGGAAGGGTTCATGGGAGAGAAATTCTAATATTCATGATGGAAGTCCTTTAATAATTTATAAGGTAAGGAGAAATTTCCGTTATTATACTTCATATATGCAACTAATGTCTCAGATAAATTGGTAAAATGTCAATAAAATGATGCAAACGCATCCATTATAAAACTATGAAAATGCAAATGAAAATTTTACATGAAACAATTATTAGGTTATTTTATTGAGCTAGCATGCATACAAGTATTTATACCTTATATTGAATGTGAAAATAACTTTTTTGTAAACCTCTAATTATGGAAGCAATATCCTGGCATGCCATTTTTTTTTATTATTTGCTCTGCTCCTATTTTGTATTGTTTTATGGACCTTTGATCTTGAATACTGTTTGTTATCTCAATATGTTTCATAGTCATGTAAGATAATAGGACACATGGTCAGATAAGAGGTTTTAAAAGTGATAATTTTATTTTGTAGCCCCATCTTGATCTCTCCTTTTTGAAATTATTATACTTCAAAATGTAGGACAATCACTTAAGGTGGCAAGGAGAAGGCCATATGAGCTGATGAGATAGACAGAATATTCCATGGTCAAAAGTTTTATCAAATCAAAGGCTATGCAGTTGGTATAAAATATATCCTTTTAAATACGACCAATGAAAGGTATATGTGCTAACAAGTTCATTATAATGACTATAGAATTTACGAAATTCTTTAACGACCAAAGAATGTATGTGAAATGTTGACTTAAAACGAAACTGTTGACATCCCCGTGATATCAGCTTCTTCGTCAGTAATCTGCCTTGGTTTGATCATGCTTTTGGGCATCGATTGATTGACGGATTATATGTTGTTTTACGTCCAATTCGAGAATTGTTCACATTTGTAGAGACGTCACCATTTGCCGGTGAAGGACTTCAAATTTTGACCTTTACTCTTTTTTGAGGGTGCATAAAACTTGTAACTACATAAAACAGGAAAGTTGACGATGAAAAAGCTGAACTCATTCTGTTTGTTATTCAGTAAGTTTAGTTGAATGTTGGTTCTTATCGTCTATAGACAGTAAAACATCCAAATGAAACAGACTACACGGTATCTTTAACTTCGAGTTCACTGGCAAACTGTATATCGAGACGTAATGGAAGTAACTGTTGTTAATCAATATAACGTCGACGATAAATCTGAATGTCGAATTAAACAATGTTGAGCAAGTGTTTCCTTCTTCCAATGAAGAATATTTCTTCTTCTTTTTTTAAATTGCCTCTAGAACAATTTTCATTGCTGGAGTTATGCGCCCAAAAAAGAATGTTTTACGTGTCATAATGTGTTGATCTTCTGATGGAGAATTTTTTTTAGAATGACTTTTTTATTATATGTACGTCCAACAAATAAGTATATAATTTAACTGTAAGTTACTCATGTTACTGAGTATAACTTAATTGTACCTGTAATCGCAAGTCGTTGTTCAAGTCAAGGTGATTGATCAATAATTTCTGTCAATCATTAAAAAAACATAGTTTCTGATTTGATTGACACGTAATAAGATGCGACCTATGTGACCCCTCATACCTGATAGTCTGAGTTTGTGTCCGGAAGATGAAAACGATTGCCTGGTCACGCGTCAAACACTTTCATGTAGGCCTTGTATACACGGGGGTTTTTTAAACACATCATTGGATAAAAATTTTATTTTAAAAACAATTGAGAGTTAGATAAATAAAACATGACTTCATAAAATATAAAATTTTGCTTTTAATCTCAACGGATATATTGTATTTTAGGCGGTATGTTTCCAAGATATCTGCTGTATATTTTACTTTTGCACAAAAACGCTATTTGCCGATTAAAATTGGAATATGATAAGTAGGAAATTTTTTTTAGCACAAACGGCACGGATAAAAAATTCCTTTATCCGATCTTTTACCTACTTATATATGAATACAATCTATACCATGTTCCGCTGTAAAGTTCTGAAATGTCAGAAACAGCATAACCGAGTTTCGAAGTAAACTTTTACAATTTCCTAACATCTGTCAGTACCAAATACTCGAAATTTAAAATGAATGATCAATTCTTAAAAGTATAAAAAAAAAATCTTGCGAACAATAATAAATTTTAAACATACGAACACCTGCAAATGGTAAAATATATTAAATTGTTGGAAAAAAACGTAGGCAATATTCCTATCGCGGTACGTACGGTACATTGTGTATGTTCACAATACGGATAGGCCTACCTATGAATGGAATATTTTATTACATTTTTTTAAATTTGACATTTACACAAGTTTAATTTAAAAAAGATATGTTAACTTTGTAGTTTTACTCTGTGTTCTCTTTAATTTGTCATTTTTTAAAATATAAAAACGATATTTCTTTATAATTTTTTTCTTCATTAGATATCGCAATGAAAGTATTTATAAATAAATTTTATATTGAAATTTTCAATTATTTCAAGTAGTTTCACTCAAACAGACACGAAACACGGAATTTGAAACACTGATCACCAGACACAGACTTCCTGTGTAATGCTACGTGTATATAGATTTTTGACATCTTAAAGGGTATGATGATACATGAACAGTAAATAACACCACTGTTACTTGGACCACTCCCCCTCCTCAGGTAACCGTACGGTAAAAAAATTGGGTCTTTAATTGTACCTGTAATCGTAAGTCGTTGTTCAAGTCAAGGTGATTTATGACGGTGAAAAGTTTCATGGTTGTATGCTCTATTTCATATAGTTTCCTGATTCTAGCAGACACGTAATAACGGATGCGACCAATGGACCCCTCATAGGAAGTAGGACAATCTGCCGGAAGATGAAACTCGAATGGGAGGGAGTGTGACCCGGCGGCCAGGGTGTTCACCTGGCTGGCATTGTTACCTACAACAGAAAAGTTTTTTAAACACATACATTGATCAAAGAAATTTTACTTTGAACATTTAAAGTTTGTATCAGAATCGGAATAATCAGAATGTTAGTGACAATAAATCACATATAGGAGGCATGGATATATCACAAATGTTTTATCTTTAAAGATTATATTTTACTATTTGAATAAAAAAGTTTTTTTTTGGTAGATTAGATTCACTCTGTTGTAATTCTTTACCATAAACATGAACGGTGTGGTCAAAATATATTTCTTCACTAGAGAAGTGCTTGGCCACGGCCTTTTTGTTCTTTCCATGACCACTTGAATGTTTTTCCACCCAACCAACACTAGCATAACCATGGAAGCGAAGTAAAATATCTGCAATTATAACAAAATACCCTAAATTCCACAAAATTATGGAAAGAGCCGTTTACAGATACCATAATATGCTTACATAAATCCACAGAATTTCAAGCAAATATTGATAAAGCTTTCCTTATTCATATTATTTTGTCAGTTTAAGGACAAATGATACAAACAAACATGTCAAAACAATTTTAAACAAAAAAAAAAAAAAACTTGGGTGATGTTTAAATAAGCAAAATGAAAAAGTTTCACCGCTTCGTTTTTTTTATTTTTTATTCAAAATTTCACATAAATGGTATTTGAAGTAAAAAATATTTGTATAGATTAATATTGTTTGAAGGGACTTATGTTAATCACAGAAGGTTTACAATTTTTTATATTCTACAAATTTGTTATTTTCAATTGTTGTAGGCCAAAAAATATATAATACCACTCCATTTTTTTTGGTATCATCTAACCCCTAACACCAAAGGGGATATATTAAAAAAGAGGAATTGTTTTACAGTTCATGCAGTAATATCATTATCAAAACAATTTCCTCATTCTAACACGTTTGAAAATCACTCTGGGAAATAAAGTATTCAATATTTTGTGGTCTTTCTTACGTTGGAAATTCTTACCTTGAATTTTTAATTTCCCAGAAAGCTGCAGGACAACAGATCCACAAAGAGGGTTTCCCGAAACACAAACATTGTCAGTGTTTTTAAATTCTATGTCAAATTTATCTAGTTTTCCCATATTAAAGGGGATAATGATACATGAACAGTTATTTTCATTCACATTGTTTCAGAGTACGTCAACTTCCATATCTGTTATTTTTATTTTTTAATTTCCCTTGCCTGAAAATAGATTCAAATGATTTTAGATTAAGCAATTTCTACATATAGAATATCCATTCAAAACAGATAAAGTACATATTGTGAATAAAACTAGTAGATCATTTACTTTTTGTGGAAAGTATATTATTAATCATGATTTATTGTTATATACAATATAAATTATATTATGACACATCTGTTTCATACTTGGATATTTTACTTGAAAAAGACGTTAATGGTAATCTAACAACCAAGCTTATGATAAACGTGATGACTTTAACTTTTCTATCGTCAACTTCCCTTACTTATGCAGCAATATACCTTCATCAACTACATACGGAGTATATATATATATCTCATCTTGATGTCGATACGTAAGATCGTCATGATTCTACGTATGAACAATTTCTAAAACGAGGTGAATAATTATTGACAAGCAAGTTGATGAAACAAGAATATCAGCAGTCTCGTTTAAAGTCATCATTTCGTAAGTTCTATGGTCGATGCAATGACCTTGTCAGCAAATACCATTTATCATTGAGTCAAATGCTGACTGACGTTTTTCATACGAATTGTTAGTCCATTATTTATACACTGAATTGACGACGGATTTTTCCGTTATTTCCCGATCATGACAAGGTGCACACGGTGGATGTGACCGGTCAGCAGGGGATGCTCACTCCTCCATGGCACCTGATCCCACCTCTGATGTTTCGGAGGTCCGTGTTTGCTCTGCTCCTATTTTGTATTGTTTTATGGACTTTGAGATTGAATACTGTTCGTTACTTCCATATCCTTCTTGAAGATATTGGTTAATCACTTAATGTTATTTTTTCGCTCGGCATATACACTGTTCTATGTTTCCAAATGTCGTTTATACCCTAGAATACCACTCTCAAGATTTGAACATCTTAGCCCCTACAAGGGGACAGTATGTAAAACCAAGGGGCTTGATTTTTCAGTTCTTGCAGCTAAATATAATATAAGGTTAAGCTCCCCTAAGACAAAACTCTCTAAATTAATGAAAACCACTGTCTTTTTGATATGTACAAATAATGCAACACTCTGTCCTTGTTTCATCTGTATTTGCAAAACCTATTCTGCTGCCGTTTTCTATGATTAAAACTGTCAGAGATTTGTGAGGAGCGTTTATAGGTATTTGGGTGTAAATAGTTTGCTTGTTCGTTATACAAATTAATTTATATGAGTATGCTGGTGTAAATAGTTAGCTTGTTTGTACAGAGGTTTGGA